CAAAAGAGGAACAATAGGAGGTCCCCGGTTGCCGGCAAATGCACACACATGTGTATGTGAGTGTTCCGCTTCAGTACAGTACGACCGAGAACATTCTGTACACCAAGAACCAAACATCAACTACCACACCGGGGAGTCAGGTTGGCGTAGGGGGCTCTTTCCTGCCTTCTACATCTGCTGCTCAGGTTCAAGTCCCACTTCAACAAGTGGACTGAGTTTTGGTTCCTCTCTGATTCCATAAGGTTTATCCCCAGGAATATTTTTCTGTGTTTTCCTCCTACTTCTAAAAGTGACCATTTCTTCAAATTTGTTATGTTCTTCATTGTCAGTCATAATCATCCTGTTATTTGCTCTGACTTCAATGTTGGATGAATAGAAATAAATAAATAAATGAACAAGCATAAAGCCCTGTGGTACATTCATGTGAGTAGTATAACTAATACGAAGTGTTAATGCATAGTCAGGATTTTTACTTTTCTGTCCTAACTGCAGAAACTTGTGAGTGATAAGCCCTGTGTTCTGCCTGAGTCTATGTCTGATGATTTGCTTAGAATTGAGCTTCAACAACGTGGCTTGAGCTCTCAGGGAGACAGGAAAACATTACTCCATCGATACAAACAGCCTGATGACCGTAAGTGTCAATGACAGTTGATGAGTTTGTGCATAGAGATCATTCTTCATGAAGCATGATCGATGTACCTGTATCATGGTCAGTTTAGTAAACATCTTTGGAAATTAAATTCCTGGTGCCCTGTCTCAGTTCACCAGGAGATGAAAGGTGTCGATGATCTGAAGAGTTGGAGTATGATAGCCTAAATTTCCTGGGAGAGGTTGATGGTCATGCAGTGCCTACATTGACATCTGTTCAAATCTCTGTGACAGTGTTTTAACTCACATGATATTGGCAATTACTTTGTGAGCTGAATTCTGTCTTCAGCTTGCTGGGAGATAGAAAGTCTTCATCATCATTTGAAGATCTCTCAGTGTCAGAGAAATTTGTTTGCTGTTTGTTTGCCAGTGATTGATGATTCTTGTTCTGGTCCTTACTCAAAACAATAGCAGGGTAACTTTCATCATTCTTCAAACACCCCCCCCCAAAGTGTTCCAGTACATATGTTTTCATTGTCACTGGGCTTTAGTGAACAAGTTTACTCTTCCCTTAAGAAGACACATATACATGTATGTTTGGAGGGTCATTTTTAATGAAAAGATTGACCAGTGAGGACCTCGTCCAACAACTGGCATAAGCACAGTTTTTCTTATTTGTTTATGTATGAGTGTTTCCAACACAGCCAAGTAGCAGGGACTATTTCTTCAATTTTTTCAGGTTGTCCACTGCTTCAAGTTTCCTTGCCCAAGAATGTGTACTGTAAGATTGACCCAAGCTGCCTGGGTGTGGAGTGCTGTATGAATGTCAAACTCTTCATGGTGTCTCTGGCCTTCAAGGCGTTTATGCGTTTTGACCCGTGCGAGTTCCAGTTTGTCCTGGGAGTCAATTCCTGGAACCACACAATCCAGATCCTGGAGGCCGAATTTGGTAAAGTCATGCATCTGATCAGTTATGATATGCTCTAACTTTCCAAGATATGAGAAACAAGGAAAAGGGTCATTAAATTGGACCCACTGAAATAAATCTTGTACATGATTCCTCTCCTGACTTGTTTCTCCCTCAGGAAGAGAATTGGACTTGCCAGTGCCCTTTGACGTACCATTTGTTGAAGGAATGCAGCTACTTCTCAGGTCTGTTCCTTTCCTCTTTCAATCTGATTTAGGAATGAATCTTGTGGAAGTTAATATTTTCCCCTGGCAATCTATTTCAATCAAAGTTGTGTGACAGGTTCTTGTGTTACCTTGTAATCCTAACTTCGTAGAGTATGTGAAAAACCATATTGAAATGAAGCATTGTTGGCCTATTAGGTTGAACCTAAGGTTTAACCTACTGGTAGGTTAAACCAAACAGGCCGGCAATACCTGTGGATTCAAAGGTTTTGTGGTCCGGTCCTCTTGAAGTCACTGTGCGTGTGAAAAGTCTCAAGAATGACTGCAAAAGGTTTTGCATCAGGTGCATTCACTGCGATCAATTGTTCTAGGTTATACACACCATTTTCTTTTGATGTAATTTTTACAAATTGGACAGATTTGGGGGTATGTAATCTATCAGCCTCGAGCAGAAGCCCCCCTTGATTGGTTGAAAAGAGCCATATTGGTCAGGAGTTTTCATTTTGTTGATTAGCGATGCAACCGAAACGCGTGTATTTCGTAGTCATTTGCGAACCAGCAAATGCAGTTACTACCAAAGGAGCTTCCGCTGCTAGGAAAATTGCGCCCTCTGGTGGTCCAGCTCGAAGCTCATAGTGTAATTCAGTAAGCAGAATTAGAAGCCATTACAACTCTGGTGGACAAGTGGCTTGCATGCATTACGTGCCATTTGGACTAATAGAGTGTTGTGATTTGCTAATTGCACGCATGTATGAAGTCCAAGAATGCCCCTGTTGGTGCATCGCCTCTGCCACTGCGGTGCCTCCTTGGGTGTCTTAGGGACGGCGACCATTTAGACCCGGTTTGAAAAGGGCCCCCCGGTAGCCTACCCGGTATAATGCCTGCCCAGTATTCAGCCTACTCCAGGCCGGTATAGGGCCTGTCTGCACATTGGCATTTCAAAGTGCTTCCCCCAACATGCTTGCACAGATGAATAGGGGTCTCAGCGGATTAATGTAAACATTGTATAGAGCTGAAAGATTAAAAACCACAAGCAGGTTCCTTCTGGGATAGATTACATGTACCAGTACTTGCAAACAATAGACCCCAGGATGAAGAAGTTCGAGATCTTGAACCAGTCCAGCATCCCAGGCCGGTAGCCAGGCCGGTATGTAAGGGGTTTTTGCAACCGGGCGAGCTTACCGGGGGGCCCTTTTCAAACCGGGTCTAAATGGTCGCCGGCCCTTAGTCTATTGGTGGCTATTATTCCACTGACCTATTTCATATTACCAAGAAAAATCCTGGCGATGCCCATGTTTGCAAATCTTGCAAGTACTGGAAAGAATACACAATTCCTGTTTTTTAAAAAATAACAACATTCTGGGTACAAAGACTTCACAGCTTGACTGACATTGTTAGTTCCTTCCTTTCAAATATGCTATTTCACAAGTATTCAGCAGTCCATGGTTTTGCTTGGTAAGTTGTTTTTTTTCCTCTTATACCTTTGCCTAACTTCACCCATTATGTAACCCCCCTGCAGGTTCACCATTGATAAGAGCCCTACCAAACTGCTTGTCAGCTTGTCTGTTGGCCTCTGCCCAAAGACCGGAGGTGCAGACTGCTTGTCATTCATTGATGTGCTGACAGATTCTGTCATCCCTTTACCAATTTGTCATCCCAACGAGACCATCACATGGCCAGACAGTAAGTGGCTGGACAGGATTTTGTGACGCGCACCATGTTCTGAGTGATTTGATTGCAAACATGTACTTTACTTACTCGCTTTCCAGCCACTCAGTATGACATTTTAATTAATACTCAATGATTATGAAATCTTGAAAATATCTTGAAAACGAGATGAATATAATATGCAGTGGATAGTCATGATACTTTCGTTAGAATTACATATGTAATACTCAAACGTTAGGTGATCTGGTGAATACGTGCTGAAATGTAAAGACAGAAGTTTATACTCATGCTGTGAATAGAGTCAACAGGTGTCATGTTTGTAAAGAAACTAATACTTTCTTGTAGTTGATCTTGAGGAATATTTCTCCCGTGCTAACCTGAAGAGGATTCTTAAAGAGACAGGGGAGGAGATACTGCAGGCTGGGGCAGAACTTGCTTTGAGCTACGCAATGGACGAACTTGGCATACCAAAGGTAATATGAGGCAGTTAGAAGTCATGTAGCAAACAAGTTTAATCTGATGGACAAGTTATCAACAATTAATAATTGATCTGATCTGCAGTTGAGATGTCAAGGAAAAAATAGTCTTCCAATTTTTTTAGTTTCTTTGATTTGGGTTCTGCCACTGTCCCACGTGACCTGATGTGCATCCACCATTGTTATAGGCATGACACAGCAGCACCTTGCACAATATTTAAGTTCAGAGCTGTCTGATAAAATGGTGAGCCAGCAGCCAGCTCTTGATTAGAATGATAATGACAGCCAAACATAAGTAGTTACCATTGTACCAATAGGAATTCACTTTTTTATGTGAAAATGAGCCTCACAGCCTTGTTTACCTTGTATGATGTGCAGTTTCGAAGCAAATGCTTGCCTATTTCAAGGAAACCCTGTGGTCACATGGTACTTTTGATCGTTTCCCCATTGGAGTGTCATGTCGTGACCAGAGTGCAGACCAAAGTGCAGAGACATGGGCTAAATGAGAGATTATGAACCAAATATAAGCTGAAGGCTAGTAATTTTTTTTTGTATTTCAATTTTTAACATCAGGATTTATTTCACAACTTTCATTGTAACATTGTTCATTCATGGTCATACTGCACCTGTGTATGTTTAGTGGGTATATGTCTTTTTCTGTTAATCATTTTAAACACATTTGATATTGTCACCCATTTACATGTAATTCTAAGTGATTTTGTATGAGTAGGGTTTTGTTTTCGGTTTAATGTTTGGTGTGCAGGTATGTGTGGTGTTACTGTGTTTTTACTAGGTTGTAATGCGCTCTTGAACAAACAGGCCCTGGAGAGGGCGCAATAAAAATTGAATAAATATAAGCAGCATTTATAATTATTACTTCTGTTGTTAGGATTGCCAGCTCAGTATTCTTGAACTCACTCCTTGTATACCCCAGTTTAGGTTAACCCTCTTTAAGTTAGAAAACGAAATTAATGTTAGTAGGTAAGATAAGTAGAATAATATAGTGGTGTATTCCATTGTATAAGAACTTTATAATGCAAGCATTACTGTATCTAGGAATTACTGAGTAGTAAGGAACCCTGCCTAACACCAGCCACCATGAGTGATTCACAGCTGATTGCTAGCCTAGAAGACAGACAGCTTGCAACTACAGGAACCAGGATGGAATGGGAAGCAAGGCTATCTGAGGATGACAGAAGTAAGCCATAAAAAAATAAGAGATTCATCTAATCTTGCCGCACTTCTGTAAAAAGTATGTGACCTGTCACCACAAAAAAGAGCTAAAAGTTGGAATTTTCGAAAATTATAATGTTGTTAGTTTTTAATTCGGCAGTAAAAGAGCTTTCCAGTGGTTTATACGTTTAACACTTAGCGCTAAAGTAGGGTGACAATATGACATTATTCTGGCAGCTACAGTTACATTTCTGACCAGGCATGAATAATGCTATCGTAAAAAATAGTAAGAAAATTATATTTTTAAATATCTTACTGGGGCTACTAAAAATTTGGAATTATCTAAAAGAATGGTTACTCTTCCAAATATTACAAAACCCCCAAATTGACCTTCCCTTCAATTTGTAACTTTGAACTGTCATAACAGGAAATAGTGAAGTGTGAGTTTATGCTCATGTTGTTGTGATGGGTCACATAGGATTATGAAAGCAACTGTAACAGAAATGTAAATGTAAAATGTAAATAATTTGATTATCGGTTTGAATTTTGAGCAGAGCGTTAGGACAGAAAAAGTGCTGAATGAATGTTGAAAAATTTATTTGCTGTAATGTGATGTTCAAGACCAATAGTATTGTTAAACTGTGGCAGATACTCTGTATTTTTAAGCAAAACTTTTCTGAATGGGAAAGATTTGGTCGCCCCTGCAATTGGCCTGAACTATTCTGGACTCTGTTGATGTGTGATAACTTGTCATTGATTTATGCAGCTTGTAAGTTCTTAGCCTTGCCAGTGTTCTCCCCTGAGCTGGCTAAGGTGGCCTACTGCTCCCTGAGTGACAACTGCCTCCGTCTGGACTGTTGTCTGGAACTCAACCTCCAGAAGTTAAAATTCCGCCGATCATTCAAAGCCTCCATGGAGGTGGACGCCTGCGATTTCACCTTTATCATTGCATTTCAGCACCTGAAGTACAAGAAATTGCTACTGAGTTATGAGTGGGGTGAGTCACTGTGTGCTACCTACTTCTCAGAGTACCATTGTTGAATTTAATTCTCAGTTGTCACCACAATTAAGCATGGTCACTGGGTGAAGGCCAACATAGAAATGTCCTTAGTTCATTTATGATGGCTTGCTTCACGTTGAGTGTTGGGTGCTTATAACTGCTTGTGAAGACTTGTGATTACTTGTAAAGCCATTGAAGTTCTTGATCACGATCCTACTTGCTGTTTGTACTGACAAGGCCTTGAGCCAATTATGCCATTTTGAAATTTTCAAAACATTCAGTACATACCGGTAAGTCCAAGTAGCTCTCTCCACACCTTGTTCAAAACCATGTGCATACTCGTTGCAAAATGTTGCGAGTCTCAGCTCCGACATTATAGTAGTTATAGGTATTTATTCTAGTATGTAAGACAAACTTAATCCATCGGCCATAAAGCACCTTATTCAGACATTAATTTCAGACTTTTAATGATGGTCTTGAGTAAATGTTAGCCTCTAAAAGATGCAAAAGTTCTAGACATAGTTATTGTAAGTGATTCATTTTCACATTGTGATGTGTGTGTAATCAGGACAACCACAGCAACAATACATTGGTGTGATTGCCCTGAAATATTCCATTGACAAACTGGATGCTGAGAAGGTGTTTAAGATCAACTTTGGGGCATCTGTCTGTCCCAGCGGCGAGGATTGCATCTTTGATTTAGACATCATTCAGGACTACAGGGTTCCCATTCCTGTTTGCAACTCCAACTTTTCAATCTCCCTTCCAGGTAGGCAGGATGTAATCACAGTAACACTGCTTTCAGTTGTAGTGCCAAGATAAAACTATGTTCGGCTCTAAAGATCGCAGGATTTTGATAATAAACTTTTGCGAATGGTATGTTGTAGTGTTTTGTGGAATTTGGGTTTCAATCAACGAGTGTATTTGGGTGCCCTGTTGATAAGCAAGACCTTAAACTTACAGCGCCACTGAGGATCTTATTTTGAGCTTTGAAATTTGTGTCTATGTATTTCTCTACTTATTTATCTCAACGTTTAAAGTTGATGTGTAAAACATGCATTTGAGTAATATTTGTTTAGGACTTGCTCATTTGAAAAATCACTCATAAGACAAACAGGAAAACTAGGTCTTTTTGAGTGGGAGAGTGTTGTAGTCCTTAGATTGTTCCAGTGTTAAAACAATTAGAGTCACTGTCCCCACTCAAATGCCAACTTGATGGCCACCATCAAACTATTAAAGTAACCCTAACAATCCTGAATCCTCCACTCACACAAGGGAGAACACTATATCGTGAGTTTGCACTTTTCATTGTTCTTTTCAGCACTAGTTTGCACAATACACAATTGACTGCCTCCTTGTCACCGTATGAATTTGATGTCATTAATTCCTGTCTCATCTAGAGACAAGTTCAAGAGAAATTCAATGAGGCTATGATATTCCGTTGATCTTCTTTCATCTACAGGAGGCAATACCCTGAGTGAGTTTGTGGCTGCAGTAGGTCGAAATGCTGGTCAGCAGGCCATAAACATCTTTCTGGAGTACATTGGACTGAGGGATAAGATTAATGATGGACGTTGCGACACTACAGCCCTGTTTGCAGTAGATGAAGAAGGTAAGGGTGTGCATAATTTCTATCCAGAATTCTTACTGTCATTTTAAGTTATTGAATCTTGTGATATGCTTGCAAGTCTTTGCAGTAAGCACATGTGAATATTCTGGGTAAAAATCCACAGAATCAGGTTGGAAGAAAAAACCCAATCCACATGTTGTCCAAGTCAGGAATCGAACCCAGGGCGCAGAGTTGCAAGGAGAGAAAAGAGCCACTATGCCAACCTGACTCTTCCACACACTCTGGACTCCCCTCACCACAAGTCGTGTGCTGTTTTGCTCAGCCCATGTTTTTTCCCTTGTGATATGCAGTTTGCACGGACGTAAGCCTACCAGCACTGTCAAATGGACTGACCTGTCAGATTTCCCACCAATGCCTGGGCATTCAATGCTGTGTTGAACTTGATGTGCAAGTCACCATACTGTCGGTCAATGTGTGGCTGATTCTAGACCCATGCGAGTTCACGCTGTCTGTTGGGTTTGGAAAGTGGTCCTTGACGTTCACCATATTTGACTACCACTGGGGTAAGTGCATCATCTACAAATGTTGTGACTGTCAAATTCCCCTGAATATAAGAAGCAATGTTTTTAAGTAGCACTGTTGATTCTTCATTTAGGGAAATGTTAGCATACAGAACTTGTTAACCAACTTTGATATCTCCAGATTTGTTGGGTTTCACCGAAACTTTTAACATAAGGAACTTTTTATTCTTGTGCAAAATCCTGGTTTTCATGTTCGACAGTGGAACAACTCTTGAGTACTTGCATTCATAAAACCAAGCCTGACTTAGAATGCTATTAGAATCGTCGCAAATCAATTGATCTTTTCATTTTTGAAACTGAAAGTCCAAAATTTTCACCTACAAATAACTTATCTACAAATGAAAGGCCCAGAGCTTGATTTTATTCATTTTTTCAGAAAAGCCATCTCAGACAACAAAAAAAAAATCTGGGGAAAACATTAGTTTTTGCATTTCATTAGCTGTTTCGGTCACCGGCCGAAACAGCTTTGGTTTTTCTTAAGGTTTTTTTCTTTTTCTATTTAATTTAATTTTCTTTTTCTTCTTTTTCAAATTTTTGCTATTGACATTAAACACGGGGTCGTTCTACACACAACTTTCAGTGTGATTTCCTTCAAACCTGGCACATTGTTAGACTACCACCTGAAGATGTATGCAGAATCATAATGTCGTTATGATGTCATCACATGATTTATTATAGAATTTTGAATATTTAATTTTGCCCCGTATGTTTTGTACACGTTTTCAAGGCAAGATTTTGGTTGTTCAGCAATCTTCAAATGTCATCAAAGTTACACGAAGCAAAGAGCTTGAAGCAAAGATAATACTATAATAATTACCTCACAATGACGTCATCCAGTGATTTAATCTTAAATTTTACATATTTAAATATTATTGTCAAGTCCAGAATTTTCTGCTTTCTGAAAGTCAATACTCTTTTCTTCTGCTTTCTAAATTTTAATATACATGTATGTGACCAAAAGGTTATCAGATAACCCTTCGGTCACATACATATACTGTACATATGTACTGTAGGCCTACATTAACTGAACATCTACAGGCATCTTTGGCATAATGATACATGTAGGGCCTACACGTCCCTATTGATTTATTCATAAGCCGTGAGACGTCTGGGCTTATGTAGGGAACAGGGACCTATGTGATCTCCAAGGTGCGGAGCCAGAGGAAATCAATGCGATATAGCAAAGGAAATACAGGAGGGGAAATTCTACAAGTTACTTTTAAAGTGAGTTAAATAGTGAAAATGAGTTGTCATTCCTAATTTGGGTTCATATTTTATTGATTAATTGTACAGAAATGATCAAAAATATTTATTTGTTTTATTTATTTATTTTTTGTAACTGAGAATTGCCTTTTTTGCTTTCTACCCCCAAATTCGCGATTTTTGTGGATTTTCCACAATGCAGAAAGCTCTGGACTTTATATTATTTCAAGTTTCTAAAAAACCATTTAAAATGTAGTGTGGCCTCCCTCAACATTCTGTTTGCGCAAGTGTGAAATTTGGTCTTCAATTCATCTCATGTGGGTCAAATCACGTGACCCTTCCAGTCAAAGCAGAAAATCAGCTTATTATTTAGAAGTGGTAATAGGTATCAACTTGTTTTCAACAGTGTCAGTTGGTGGAGGTATAGTATTCTTGAAATCATCTACAAATGCCGCACATAATTGTCGAGTGCCCTCTAGTGACAGGTTGAAAAATTGGAAGAATGAATTTTGCATAGATGTCTGTGGCGAAATTTGTCGGAATCGCCTGAAAATTGATGTGGATAATGACCTTTACCCAGTTCACTCATGTAAAATTAGGGGCCGATAATGTCATCATACCGGAAGTTATAATAAAAAGTCCTTTTATTCTTCAAAATTCAGTTAAAAAATCAACCGTAACAGATTTAAGCATGAATTTCTCTTTAGATTCAAGCATGAATTGTTCATTAGATGATAGCTGAAACATTGAAGTCAACTGCATAAAGTGCTTAACTGGTGTACTTCTTCACAAAGATGAAGCGCCAATGACAAAATCCCCCTTACGATATTTGCTAACTCGACAATCCCATTCGCCTACTGTGCATTGGCTATTGTGTGCTTGGACGTGCAATATCTACCTGTAACATAAGCAGTGCACAATGCTCTGCGCATAATACTCAGGAGCTGGCAAAATCCCAAACACGTGGCGAGGGGAGCGTGTGAGCTTGTACTGTCATGCTCTACTGTAGCAAGGAGGGTAATGGTCCCATAGAAATTTTGAACTGCGGACTTAACGACAGCTGTTCGATTCCCGCCTTTTCCAACTTCCTTTTTTATCAAACCAAAAGAGTTTCCCGAAACAGCCCAGTGTTTGTCAGTAGACAAACACAACATTTGTTGTGTTTTTCTTTTGACTTTGTTGCATATACAGTAATTGTAAGTTTTACAGTAGTGTAAAGTTTGATTCATTTCATAATATGACTACATATTTTTACCAGGTACCCAGGAGCACATCAAGATTGGCAAAGCCTTGACCCTCATCTACACCATCGACAAGCTGACTGAGGCCAAGGTGTTTGTGCTGGATCTAGCCCTGTCCCTCTGCCTACCAGATTCAGAGTGTAACACGCCCTCTATTGACATCCTCAGGAAAACAAGAGTGCCGATTCCACTCTGTAATGAGAATGCTTCATTCACTCTTCCAGGTTTGCTGTTTTGGTCTGTTTTCAAATCTGTTGTTGCCTTTGAGTCCTGCATAACCAATGAAAAGATAACAGCATAGGAAATATGTGGTGAGCTAGGGTGCCGAAATGAAACAAGCCTGTTGAAATAATCACCTCCCCACAAGAATCTTTAACACAGAGTGGTATGGATATCAGTGTTTTAGTCTTTCCAAAACACAGATGTATTAGCACTATCACCAAATAAACAGGAAAGAAAAAGCCTGTAAATAAGCGTTAAGTACTGTGAGGAACTGTGATTAGTTTTGCTGCACTGAAAATTAAGTAGAGAAAAACTGTTTTATATAAATACAAGGCTTATTTATTATTAGCGCTCAGAGCCTCACCTGCTACAAACTTACCCAAAATGTATGATTTTCCTCATTCCACAGGGGATGGAACCGTGAAAGGCTTCTTGCAGATGGTCGGCCACAATGCTGCCGATATAGCCATGGATGCCATTCTGAAACACCTAGGGCTGTTTGTGAGTCTTTTCAAAACAGAGAGACACTGACTTGCAGTGAAAATGTTATCAGGAGTTGGGACTGAAATCTAGTTTGTATATCACTTTAATATGTTGACTGCCACACATAATTTCAAAGAATGGGCATCTTTCGGTGGGGGGTCGACGGGGGGACATGCCTATCATTTTGCCGAGCTTTGCGCTCGCATTTGTTCTGATCAGGGCTATATTCTCCCCTCCACTTTTCAACATGGACTGATGCCCTTGCAAAAGGGCGTTCCAGTTTGCCAAGTGTTCTATGCATCCGCACATATTTAACAGGTACCTTTCAGGTGTCTGTTTGAACATGAGCATTTCACGGATGTACGCCCTCCACACTGCCAGCAGGGTATTCGAGGATGCCAATGTGTTCCATTTACATTACAATTTACATGCATTACGTTTACATTTACAAGAGCCTTTCATTTTCTATGAGTATACTCGTAGTCGGCAGTCAACATGTTAATTGGCACGGATTTCAAACCCTTGTATGAGGGGATGAAACACCTGATGCAGTGTCTCAGTGTGCTAACTTGGCAAGTGTTAACATCAAGACAGTATGGGCTCACACTCTTTGTCATTCCTTGACATTGTGTCATTATTGTAAGAGTGGTTAATTGCAATTTTACAGGTTCATTTGTGTGTTGGCTTCCACATGAGCTCATTCCCTGATTGGTTTCATTTCTTCATTCCCCCACTTTTGATTTTGTGCTGAAGTTTAAGAAACGGTTCGGACCTCATAAAGCCTGCTTTTTAATCTAATGTTGTGCAAAACCAAACTCAGGCAAGCTCAGGTAACTGTAAATGAACTATATCATTGTCCACTTTATATATATATTAGGAGTACATCAGTCGGGAGCCATGTGTACGTCCGCAAGTCACACAGAATGGTTGGCAGAGACGTAAGTTCACTAAGTGCTCTGTGATATTGGTTTTCTGTTTCCTCAAAATGCCTTTTCTTTCCATTGCCATTTTCAAAGGGAAAATTTTAAAGAAAACCCATTCATAATGTTTTCAACTGCAACCATTTTAAACTTTTTTGGCCTCCCAGAAACACGCGTTGCTCTCTTTCATTAGAGTAATAGTCCAGAACCAATGGCAGATTGTGTCACATCATGGACTCTGAAACAAATACTGAACTTGCACAGTTGAATCAGATTTTCCTGTTTTTCTTCCCAGAAGCCAAATTTGCATCAACAAACTAAACATCTTTGGTACAATATATAACACATAATACTATATTAAAATTTTCTTATTGTTGATGCTTGTGACTTTGTTGGATCCCCCAATCTTTCAAGAAATCCCACCTGTACTTAGGTTGGATTGCTTGACCCAATTATCAGTTAGCATACCATGAAGCACTGGTTTGTGTCATCATTTCTGTTTAGTTTGTCCGCGAGATATCAGGCTTCCTCACCTACCCAGAAACCTCGTCTGCACCCTGCCAGAGAAGTGTCTCGTGTTCGATTGCTGTCTGGAGCTCCCAATCCCAGGAATCGCTCCCATCAGCACTCGGATCTCCTTCATCTTTGATCCTTGTAACTATCATCTGTCTGTGAGTCTGGGTAGCTTCAGCCAGGATCTGCAAGTCTTGTCCTATCAGTGGGGTCAGGAAGAAGAAGTCAACATTGGGAAGGCTGTTACAATACGGTAAGTGCTCAAGCTTGGAAGAAGACACATTGTAGGAGCCTATATATATCATTACAAAGAGACATACATGTAGATATTGAAGAAAAACAAATTTTGAGATAATCTCTAGAGAAGTTTCTCCTGTTTCAAAACTGTCAAAAATACTAATTTGCAACATCTTTATGCAATAAAAACCCCTGAAATATTGTCTTTGAGAACTTTTGAATGACCCCTATTAACACAGTGGTTAAAAAGCCGAAATCAGTTAGTAAAATGTGCATTCATTTGTGAAAAACAAAATCAACACTTTCCCATATTGACAACCTTGCTCATGTATTTTTGCCATGGGGGGCACGCACGTTTATGCATGGGCAGTGGTAAATAAAACAAAGATGTCTGTCTCTTCCTGAAAAAAATACCTCAATTGACCTACTTTTCTTCCTGAAAAAATACCTCAATGACCTACTGTTTGGCCTTCCTTGGCAATATGTTTTGTACACATAGATGGGTCAGCCAGATTAGTGTCTCGTTGTGACAGCACAAAATGTAGTTATCGAGATTTCTGCCCCTGGCAACATTAATGTTATGTTTGAATTAATGATGTTTTGCTTGTGGGAGCATGCCAAAATGGTCAAGTGTGATGTTTTAAAAGAAAATAATGAAAAAAGTCTAACTAGTAAAAATGTCGGTTTTTTTTTAATCTCCGCCTTTTCTTCAAAACAGTAATGATATGTAGACCTAATATCTAAGCTTGGTTCCAAGTCCATTACCTTTGTCAGTACTGTAGTCCCAAAGTTAGGACCGGCAACTAAGCTCAACATGTTATTGTAAGGTAGTGATGTAAGCCTGTTGCAGGTATAAACCAGCAATTTGCACAGCTTAAAACTTCAAGCAGTGTCAAATGTTACCAGACTGTGCAAAATGGAATTAGAGAAAAAAGTGTGGCTTTGTAAATATTTTAATTCATTTGATTCTATTGGTTTTAGGGTATTTATTTGAATTATACATATTTTTTCCAATATTGTCACATGAAACATCCATTTGATTGCAGTTATTTCACTAAATTCCCGTTTCCAATTTTCTATATATCAAAGTTTTACTAAATGTGCCTCTGAACTCAAATTTTGCATACACGTGTATTTATCTCCAGAAAAGTTAACTTAATATCATATTTTGACCACAAATATGTAGTTTGGGATGTTGGATGGAGGAACGGCAAACAAGAAGAAGACAAGTTTATGTATTTTTGTCTATCTTTTGCAGTATGACCATTGACAAGTTAGATGCAGAGGAGTCCTTTCAGATTAATTTTGACATCTTCTTCTGCTTGGATGGTGACTGTACAACCACACCGGTGCTCCGCGATGCGTTGGTCCCCATCCCGCTCTGCAATCTCAATGCCTCCTTTGAGCTGCCAGGGGATGGTAGCTTTGCTGGACTGGCCCGGACTCTAGCTGAGGACATTGGGGAGTTGGCCATCCAGGCTGGCCTCCGAAAACTTGGAATCCAGGTATGATTTCTGGATTAATATCACCCAGCATAAGACAGGAGGACCACTGATGTGGACTGCAAATATGAGAAAAAGAAAGAGCTTTTGCTTGATTTACCAAAGATTGCAGGTGGAAAGAAAGCCATTAACAGACAGATAGTCCCAGAGAGAGACAGAAAGTGGGAAAATCCTTGCAGAGTACTTGCCATCAGAACAGTGACAGTAAAAAGACGTGATGAGAATGCTAGGCAAGTAGAGTGCCGGGAAGTTAGAACAGGGGAAATGAGTTGTGAGATGCCACCAATGCACTATCCATGGCGTATTAGTTTGAGGATATTACTGTAAGCAGTGAAAGGGGGAGATTTTGTTGGGAAGTAACTTATTACTGCCTTGACTGCCTGTTTAACTGTTGGTTCCTACCACATTCCACCTCACCACTCTGTGTTTTAATAGGAATTTTTCACAAAATAATAAGTACAGTTTGCTATCTCAATCCACTTCGACTATCAGGATCCCCTCATCGGTTGAAAAGAGCTGAATTTTTTGGGAGTGTTTAGTTTCTTGGTAGTGAGTGATGCAAGTGTAACGAGTGCTTTTCCTATTAATTCGTGAAGCAATGAAGTTCAGTTCTGACCAAAGGAGCCTCCCTTTGCTAAGGAAATAGCACCCTCTCTTGGTCCAGCTCAAGGCCCATACAAGTGAAAGGAGATTAAACTTCCTACAGCAGTTTCAAGCAATTTTCCATCTGTTAAGTGATTTTCCTCCGGTCATAGGTTTCATACATTAACCGAGGAGTTCACTTGGATACATACAGTGTAATATGGTCAGTCTTTTTTAAGTCATCAGACGTTGTATGTTGCGTTAAAAAACAAATTTAATAGAATTGCAATGGTAGGAGTATGCCATTTCCTAATAGTTTGCTTGAAGAACTTGGATAATCCTCACAAAGATTCATCACTTGGATCTGTGCTTGGCACAGAGCTCACTGGTGATGCCACTTTGCTTGTTTGGTGTGCGTTCTACTTTGAAATATACCGTTCTGGCTTTTAAAATAGAATGGAATAGGATAGTTTAATTTATTCAACCAATGGAAAGTTACCAAAACAATTAACATTTTTCTTGTTTAATTTGCTTGTAATTTACTTGTTTCTTTGGCTCTCTAAAAGGTAAATACATATTATACAAAAAGTAAACAATATTTGCATATTAAATTAAAAAGATGCCTGCATAAAGAACTGCAGAAGGATAGAAACTCTTTGTAAAACACTTACTACTATACTAATCACCAAATCCTTAAGGTAGTGGTTAGATGGAAGGAATGAAAAATAATCAGATGCTGGATGAAACTCCGTGGTTCATTATCGATGGAGAGTGTTTGCGCATTCTGTCATTGTAAATTGATTCAAGTGATAGCAAGTTGGTACAATGATTTTCTCTGCTGTTTGCACATCTGAGTTCAACTTGTGGAGGTCGGTTATGGACAATTGGCCAAACAAAACAATGATTTTATGTGTTCCATTTAAAAGAGGCCGTTTCATTACACCGATCAGTAATTTCTCTGTTTGTGTAACAAGCTTGTGTAAACCTTTGTTTTTGTGATCTGGCATAGATGACACATTAGCACATAGATGGACACCGGTTGCATGCCACAAATATGATGTTGCATAGAGTGTCACTTCATCAGCCCTTATGTTTTCTGCTTGAGCAAGGATAGATCCAGGGGGACCAACAGGGACCAACATCCCCAGATGGACCCCCCAAAATTTAAATAACGAGGGAAAGGATACGTTTTGTTGTCATTCCATTCTGTCATAAGCGTGCAAAAAGCCCAACTGTATCACCTCACCTCTCAGAAAGGCCATTAAAGGTGACTTCAAAAATTCCAAATTTTTTGTCCTCCTACCCCTCTTCCAAAAGTGGGCTCTCCTCCCTTAAAAAGTTGGTTCTGTATCCATCATTCCTCTTGAGTAGATACACTGTAGCTCTTGAGCTTCCTATCCCTAAAAGCATACAAACAGATGGATCTCCATAGCCCTTGCCTGCGCAAGAAACTTTTATCATGCTTGAGTATATGGGATCATGGAAATAAACGGTTGTGAAATTCATAGTGAATGAAGTTAAATGTAGCCAGGAGGTTTTCAGAAAATTTATTCTATTTATTTTTTAGCAATACATCAACAACCAGCAGTGTGATATGGAGATACTTGCCCCGAGTGAAAACAGTGAGTAGCTAATTTAACCTGTATCCATGCACAATCTTGTAAAACAATTAGCATGCACTACCTCCTTGTTTTTAGTTATACTTGCTGTTTGGGCCGAACCACACTTCCCCATTAAATGGAAACATATCCAGAGAGTTGATTGGCTTTTATGATAGTGGCACAGAGCCGCGAGTTTTGGTTCGGTCTACTTGAGTCAAGATGATATTCGTTTTAACCTATCACCCATGTTATGAGAACTCACTGCACTGTTATTTGCACTGAGTAGGTCAAAACTAAGTGCAGATATGCTAAACCAGGTTGAAGTGTCGGTGAAGTTCCTATTTGCATATTGCTTTCAGTGTCCCTTGGCATGTATTTTCCCCCTAGAATGTCCACTTCTGAGGCTGCCACCTCCAGCCAGCTTCCTGACCTGCACAGTGGATGACCGATGCCTTGGCCTGACATGCTGTGCCTCCCTGGACCTGATCTTCACTCAGTTGTCCACTACCACTTGGGCTCTCCTAGACCCCTGCGAATTGAAACTGTCTGTTGGGCTGGGGTCGTGGTCAAAGAATGTCACGCTCTTTGAATACGACTGGGGAGTGGATAAGGTGCTTGACATCAGTGATTCTGTGCACATAATGTAAGTGACATTTTGGGTAAAATGTGAGCTGTGTCTGACACTCGTGGCTGCTGCTTAAAGTACCCCTTTGGCTATCCATATGCACCCTCTCCCTGGAAACATTTATTCTGACGTAGCCTTAACCTTGTTTTTAAAACTGTCAAGAACAAGCATTGTGAAGATGGTTAGTGAATTACAGGGCCTAACCTACTTTGTTTTTGATCTACTCAGGTATAATGTTGACAAGCTGACGGCACTGAAGGAATTTCATATTGACCTCTCGGTAACCCTGTGCATAGACGGCAGCTGCAGACCCATCCGTCTGCTCCAGGCAGCTCACGTGCCCATTCAGATCTGCAACTCCAATGCCACCCTCACCTTGCCTGGGAATGGCACCATCTCTGGCTACCTTGAGAGCTTAGGGGGTCAGGTCACTGAAGCAGCTGTAGATAGGGTACTAGACCATTTGGGACTGAAGGTGAGACTGTTGAATTTGTTGCTGCATTGTTGAAAATTCTGAAATTGAAAAGCTAATACTTACCCATACATGTGAGTCCGTGTATCTGTGTTGATTGTTTCCTTAATTCTTATGTTCTCAGAATTTCCTGTCCAGAGACATGTGTAATCTGCCCAGAGTGCTCGGAGCAGGCAGTGACAGTAAGTACAACAGATTTCCTGTAGAAGAAAGATTGCAGGGTCAAGATCTCAACAGATTCTTTCTTTTTTGGTAACGAAACTGGTCTCTCATTTTGTTATATCGACAAGAATTTAAGATTAAATCAGTGTTCTGAAATTTATGATTGCCAAGCTTTCGGTAATTGAGTACCTTCTTCAGGGCAAGCAGATTCAGTTCTGAATGAACGCAGAAAAATCCACATTCATTCCCCCTGGATACAGCGTTCCAAGTTCGAAAATGACGCGCTGCTCCAGTTCCTTACGCTGTACATCGGATGACGCTTTCCACAGAATACAGACGCTTACGTCACTGAGGGAATGTGCCGGCGTGCAAAGCATCATGCATGCTGCTTTTTGTTCTGCTCATATTTTTAAGAGGGGCCTTTTGGGATGTTTTGTATTGTAAATGAAGTTAGTACATGATTTATTTGGTGATAAATTGATAAATTCACCACATGTAAATGAATGCATATTGCAGTGCTTCACCAGATCAGATGTACGTTATCTTTTTTCGACAGATTTTCCACATTTCATCTAACCTAAACTTATCTATTAAACATACATTTCTGTTTGATTAGTCCTGCTAATGCTTCTGATTTCTGATTCAGGTTGTTCAGTGCAGTTTCCTGACAACCTTCCCAGCTTGTCCTGTCATATTGGCAGCCGTTGTACAAGTTTTCACTGCTGTCTAACGCTGGATCTCAAGCTGACCCAGATCAGCACCAAGGCCTGGTTTATCATTGACCCATGTGACTACAAGGTGTCTGTTGGGCTAGGAAGGTGGTTCTTCAATGCATCGCTGTTTTCCTACAAGTGGGGAGTGATGGAAAGTTTTATGGTTGGGCATGCTCTCAGTGTTATGTAAGTACATTTGTATAAATATTGAACAGCAGTCCGCTCTGAAGTGGACTTCAAACTAAGTATTTAGTGTTAGTATTTAATACTAATACATTTAATGTATTAAATATATATATATTTAATATATATTTACTAATATATTTAAATATAATTAAATCGATAAAACTAAATCTAAAGACATTTTCTCAAGTATCTGAGAATGCTTTCATAATACCGGTGATTCACAGTGGCACGCCTTGAAGAGTTTGCAACGCATTAGCCAATCACAGCGCGCAAAATCTGTTGACCCTTTGCAAATGTGCATTGGGTTATCAGATTTGCAGAGGTGTGATTTGTCCAGATTTTTCCGGATTTCCGGAATTTCTGTATTGTCAGTGGTTTCAATATGTTATGCAAAGAGTAAATATTTGGTGCAAAACTAAGCAAAAGACTTGCACAAGTTTAGGTGTATTGCATGCGCTTTTGCGTTGTTACCCCCTCTGGAAATGCACCAGATACATAGGTAATAGTACATTGAATGGAGGGGATATCATTGTTAAAATATAGGGACCCAGGCCAGCGGTAGGATCATTGTGTGTATGTACATATACTGTACGTACTGTGCATTCGCTGTGTGTGTATATGCACGGTACACGTATTGTCGTTGCACGCACTGTGTACAACTTGCGTCCGTCTGCCATTGCGTTTTGATTCGTTCTCGTGGTGGTCTGATGTCGTCGACGTCCATCAAAAATATCATACAAGGTAGTAGGTAGGGAAGGGGATCTGAATGTAGACAAAGGATTCAAGAATTCTTGGAAATTTTCCTGGCTGGAAACCGAGGTGGACAGAGAATTAACCAAGGGGAAATTGATGTATTATC